ACCACTGAAGGGAGGGACACAGACTGACATCAAAACAAAGGTAGGTGTACACTGTACCATTTGAAGGAGGGACAAAGGCTGACATCAAAACAAAGGTAGGTGTACACTGTACCACTGGAGGGAGGGACACAGACTGACATCAAAATAAAGGTAGGTCTACACTGTACCACTGGAAGGAGGGACACAGGCTGACATCAAACAAAGGTAGGTGTACACTGTACCATTAGAGGGAGGGACACAGGCTGACATTAAAGGTAGGTCTACACTGTACCACTGAAGGGAGGGATACAGGCTGACATCAAAACAAAGGTAGGTCTACACTGTACCACAAGAGGAAGGGACACAGGCTCACATCAAAGGTAGGTGTACACTGTACCACTGGAGGGAGGGACACAGGCTGACATCAAAGGTAGGTCTACACTGTACCACTGGAGGGAGGGACACAGGCTGACATCAAAACAATTGTAGGTCTACACTGTACCACTGGAGGGAGGGACACAGGCTGGCATCAAAGGTAGGTCTGCACTGTACCACTGGAGGGAGGGACACAGGCTGACATCAAAGCAAAGGTAGGTCTACACTTTACCACTGGATGGAGGGACACAGGCTGACATCAAAGATAGGTCTACACTGTACCATTGGAGGGAGGGACACAGGCTGACATCAAAGGTAGGTGTACACTGTACCACTGGAGGGAGGGACACAGGCTGACATCAAAGGTAGGTCTACACTGTACCACTAGAGGAAGGGACACAGGCTCACATCAAAGGTAGGTGTACACTCTACCACTGGAGGGAGGGACACAGGCTGACATCAAAGGTAGGTCTACACTGTACCACTGGAGGGAGGGACACAGACTGACACCAAAACAAAGGTAGGTCTACACTGTACCACTGGAGGGAGGGACACTGACTGACATCAAATGTAGGTCTACACTGTACCACTGGAAGGAGGGACACTGGCTGACATCAAAACAATGGTAGGTTTACACTGTACCACTGGGGGTAGGGACACAGGCTGACATTAAAGGTAGGTCTACACTGTACCACTGAAGGGAGGGATACAGGCTGACATCAAAACAAAGGTAGGTCTACACTGTACCACTGAAGGGAGGGACACAGACTGACATCAAAGGTAGGTGTACACTGTACCACTGGAGGGAGGGACACAGGCTGACATCAAAGGTAGGTGTACAGTGTACCACTGGAGGGAGGGACACAGGCTGACATCAAAGATAGGTCTACACTGTACCACTGGAGGGAGGGACACAGGCTGACATCAAAATAAAGGTAGGTCTACACTGTACTACTGGAGGGAGGGACACAGGATGACATCAAAGGTAGGTGTACACTGTACCACTGGAGGGAGGGACACAGGCTGACATCAAAGGTAGGTCTACACTGTACCACTGGAGGGAGGGACACAGGCTCACATCAAAGGTAGGTGTACACTGTACCACTGGAGGAAGGGACACAGGCTGACATCAAAGGTAGGTCTACAATGTACTACTGGAGGGAGGGACACAGGCTGACATCAAAACAAAGGTAGGTGTACACTGTACCACTGGAGGGAGGGACACACTCCTACAGAATACATTTATGCTTGTTCAATCACTTTTAGGTTATGAAATTTGCCACTTAGAGAAGGAAATTAATTGGGAAACAATTGAATGATCCAATCCATTACTAGAGGTTTTTAGACTTTTAACGAGTTTTACATTGTTGCCAAGTAACTGATTGTTATTCTTCTCCAGTATAGCGAGATGACAGCCTTGCATCTTGCTGCCAAGGGTGGTCATCCTAACACTGTCCGTTTGCTGCTTGACCAAGGCTCAAACCCTAACACACGAGACTGTGTAAGTATACAACTACTTTATATCACCATGGTCATTACTAAAATGCAGCGATGCAAAATTCACATTTTGAAACTATAATCCCTTGTGTGTAAGGACTTTACCCAAGGGGATGAGAAGGAAAAAATACACCTATTACAACAGTAGTATTTCTTTCTATTAACAAAGTGATACAGCTAGGTGCCTTATTTTTTCTGTAGAGCTGGCCTTATTTCCTCAAAGCTCAGTTGTTTTAAACCCAAAAATCATGGGTTTTTAAAGTGAAATTGGCACTCTATGAAAATCAATCTAACCTAGCCTCATTTGCTCAAAGCTCAAAAATCAAGGACTTTCAAAGTGAAATTAAAACTCTATGAATATCAGTCTAACCTTTCCAAGGAGGCATATACCTGAAAATGTGAAGAAGTAAGTATTAGCTGTGCTTTGATCAACTGAGGTCTACTTGACAGCCAATTGATTGACTAATCATTATTTTTGTTTTTACAGACAAAAGATGCATTCAGTTTGTTGTCTACTTTACAGATAGGTAAAATTCCGGAGTTTTATGCTGCAAATATTTCCACAAAGAAAGAGTTTGAATTTTGGAGACAGCGAAATAGAGAAATAATCAGAAGTGGCAATGAAACAGATTCTAGTTTTGTGAAAGACCATAACCATGGTTACAATAAACAACTCAAAGGCAGTACAAGTGAGCTCAATTCTACACTTATCTCGTCACCTGCTACTCAGACTGTATCAACAGCATCTTCATATAACAGAGGAATGGACACAAAAGTACATCAAAGATCAGACAAAACAGGTCATCAGCTAAAAACTAAAAGAGATTTGAGTGGTCGTTCAGCACAATCTAGCAAAATTACAAAAGGTCATTCGGTACCATCCAACAGGGACACAAGAGGTCATTCGGTACCATCCAACAGGGACACAAGAGGTCATTCAGTGCATTTTGTTAAGGACCCTCATAAAATGGATCAGGAAACAACAAGAAGTAAGAAAATTGTAAACTCTGGAAAAAACCCTTCCTCCAGTACCAACATCAACAAGAAACTTGTGTTCTCCAAGGAACACCAGGCACGTATGGCTACCAATGTGTTTGATAGATTAGCAGGCAAGAAACAGTGAAAAGGCTTATAGACCCTGTGATCAGGAAGACATAGTTAGCATAAAGTCCACTACATTTATCATCCAGATTTTACTACTAAATATCTCACAAATATCATTAATTCTGTATACAGACTATTTTCAACTATAGCTGCTTGCCATAACTTGTGGACATGACATAAACAAAATAAAAATAGACACTATTATCAATTTTATGACTGAGCATTTCTTAAAATTTAAGAGAAATCATTGTTTCTATCTTAAGAATATTGGGTAATGTAAATAAAAATTTTTTGAAGATTTCTGAATATTCCAGTTCTTGTGTAAATATTACGATAAGATAAACTTATGGAACCTCAGTTTCTGTAAAATGTTACGAGACCATGTTCTCATGATTAGGTAGCACGATGTGGTTTGTATATGGTATTCCTGGTAATTTGACAAATCATGATAGACGGTGATCCGCACCATTAACTCACTATTTGTGCTGTGTTAATTCAGGTGTGACTATTTCCTGGATTTATCGGTATTGCAATACTGTTAGGGTAGTTTGGTTTAGTTCAATGTTGCTTGATGTCAGGGTCATTTAAGGATGTGCCAGGTTGGTTTGTAGAGAAAAATCACTGACCTGTGGCCAGTATCTGGCTACTGCCCCATGTAGGTTTTGAACCTGCAGCCCAGAAGTAGAGGGCTAGAGAAAATGACTGTCAGATATGTTAACCACTGAACCACCTCACCCTTTGGTTTTAACAAGAGACACAGATCAAACATGTTGCACAGATTTTCATTGCTGTACTCAATACATCATATTTTAGCATGTCGTTATAATTAATTTCTCTGATGTCAACGTCAATCCTCTGCTGTGACTAGAAAGATAGCCTCCTTGCTTGGGCTATCGTAAGAATTCATCAGTATATCAGGGATTAGATCACGAAAATTGTCCAATAAAAAGCAGTGCTACATGACACTGATTATCTTATACCAATAATTCTATCCAACTTTGAACTATTTCCAATAGAAAATAGACAAGTTATGCTCAAAATGACAGAGACTATTATAAACGTTACCCTCTCCTCATGGGAAATGTGAGACCATGGGGGGGGGGGGGTTCACAAAATTTGGTAAAACACCTAAGACACTTACATCCATAAAGAGTATTTAATTTTACCATGCTTGAGTATCGAAAAAAAGAGTTTTTGAACTTTCAGTCAATTTGATCTCTTTTGAACCCACCCATCAACCCTTACAAAATAAAAATACTTTTGATATATCAGCACGGCGGGATTCACCACCGTCAGCTGCGGCCTGAAAGAGCAGCACACCAAACCCACACAAGACTGCGAGTAAATCTGGGGTTATTGATTACTGCACTTGACTCTTCGTAAATGCACTAAGTATGTTTGCGATAGCGACTGCATGGTCCTTGTGTCCGACAACACTGCAATCTACTGTTAACTCTATCATTACACTTCTATTATCTGGGGATTCTCTATACGTCCTCACAAATTTACATGTCACTATTTGTTCAATGCAATGAAAATATTGCCCTACGCCTTTACATGTAGAAGGTGTGACAATACACAGATGAGGTTAAGAAAAAACTGCATAAAGTATATCAACTATACAATGTAGCAAATGCATGTTCATTTGACTGAAATAATTTGTACCATAACCTCAGTCAGGGATAAGTCATCCTTGGATACTCTAGGTGTTATGCTCACTTTCGCCCTTTGTAGCCCTGGAACATATCTTGGCAAAATCGTAGGTTCCATGTGCGTAAACAAAATACTAGTTTGATCCTTATGTTTCAATCAAATAAATCTCGAAGTCACATAATGGTATCTTGTAATGGCTTTGAAGTTGGGTGTCTCTCTTTTGTAATCTTCAAAAGGAGGATACCAGCTTGTGATTGGTAAGTTTTTACTCCTGGAACCAATCAGATTACTTCGCATGTACTTTTGATTTTGTTATGACATGTTCCAGTAGTGCAGAGAGCGAAAGTGATTATAACCCCTGGAGTGTCGAGGATGAGTCTAAGTTGACTCACTAGTTGTAAGAGGTCGTGTATCTCTCGATTTTTCTGTACAGTCTCTATTATCTTCTTTTGTAATTCCATAAGAGCCAAGTTCTCACGGTCAGAAGTTGCCTACAGAAAATAAAAGAAATAAAATCAATATTTTTTTTTTATTAAACCAAAAAAAAATTCTTGAATTCTTGAATTTTTTTTCAAATGTTATGAGCATTCAGGCAAACGTATATCTTTTTTTTTTTCTTTTTAAAAAATATTAAATGGGACCAAAAATTGATTTTTAGTGGTTTTGCTGAGAAGTCATGACTTACCTGTCCAGTAACCTTGGGTACAGGTGGAAGCATTAAAGCTGATAAAAACACAGCAGTGGCAGTCTGTAAAAGGAGTTATCATTACTGTTCTTTGTCTCAGAGGATAATGAAGATGTGACATTCATAGATCAGGACTCAACATCAATATACATGTATATATTCAAATTTTGAAGAAATTAACATTTGAAAATTTCAATGGTTTTCCTTTCTAGTGGTCACTTTGCATCCCTACCAAAAGCAAAATAACACACAAAGTTGTGTAAGACAATTGTACAGTAGCTACTGGAATATGAAAAAGAGGCCCAAGGGCCTTAACAGTCACCTGAGTCACTATGCTTCTTGTAACATGTTATAGAAATGATTTGGTTAAAAAAAAAATAACATAACCTTAATTATATTGTACACATAATACAAATGTAAATTGGGTATACATTAACTACTGTCCCGTGCTAAGACTTCTAACAAAGTTTGAATGAAAAGAAATTACACTCAAGATTTTGAATTTTCCTATATAGAAACTTCAATCCAGGAACAGAAGAACATCTTTGAAATTTCAGTCAATCTGACCCATTTTTGGCCCACCTATCAGCCCCTGGGGATCAGTCAAGTCAATTTGTGTAAACTGTCAGCTTATACTAATAAAAAAAAATTCTGAGTTTGAACTATTTCTGAAAGAAAACAAACAATTTATGTTCAAAAATGTAATTTTCACATATGAAATTTAATAACTTTTACCCCCTCCCCTGGGCAAAATGTGAGACCCTGGAGTCATGAAATTCACAATTTTTGTAAACCATCTGAAGACACTTCCATCCATGAAGGGTACTTGATTCTATCATACCTGGATTTGAGAAGAAGTTTTTTGGAATTTCATTAAATTTTGACTCTTTTTGTCCCTGCCCCTCAGGCCCCTGGGGTTGGGGACCATATAATTTACAATTATGGTACACCTTTAGCCATGTTAAGTTTTTTAAAATTTCATTGAAATCAGTTAAGGAGTTTTCCAGGAGAAGTTGAAAATATTAAAAGTTTATGACACATCAACCCCGACAAATGAGGATCGCAATTGGTCACCCTGAGACTTTGTCTCAAGTGACATAAAAACTGAAAAAGAACACAAATTACTTACTGCTATTCCAACCAGTAGAGTATCCCCGACAGAAATCTGTATCTTCAGTCCAAATAAACCATTCATACCGCGTAACTTAAAATCAAGATCAGTTTAAATAGAAAATTATATCACAGAGCTATATAACTCCAGCTATCATGTCGTCCTAACACAAACACTCACATCGAATCTGGATAATTTTGATTCCTATAAACTGGAAATCATTTAAAAAACTATGTAAAACATGAATGTGTAGATCAACCTTAATCCATGGTGACGATTATAAAATATCTTTTTTATTATAATATTGCTACTTTACAGAACGTAAGTAAGGAGACTTAATGTTTGTCATAAATATGTCCAGTCATACTATACTTTTAACATATTACCAGAAAAACAATGAAAGATTCACACAGAATTTTACGATTATATTCACCTCCCGGAAAAAAAAAGCTATTTTGTACAAAGTTCTTTTAAAAACAAAGTAGCTCCTAACTGAATATGTATCAGTTTTAGAACAGATGGATATTATGGAACCTTGTCAATGAAGCCATGAAATGTAAAATAAGACATTTATGTGGGCCTCATGTTTTTTGGCATACCTTTAACTTGTTCATAAGTTGGTTGTGTAATTCATACTCCAAGAAGGGTAGGCTCTGTGAAAATCAACATTTTAACAATTCATATATATGTAATACTATGCCCTAGTTGCAACAAAATTCTTAAGAGGGACTTTAAATCTGTTCTGTGTAAGGTATGTGATAATTGCATGCACAATTAGTGTAACGCTTATGTCTTCATTGTGGTAATAACCTTTTTCATTCAAAAGTCATGGTCAAGGTCACATGGTCAAAAAAAGATGTCACCAGAAGGGTCTTGTCACAAGGAACACACATGCAGAATATCAAAGTCATACCTCTTATGATGCAAGAGTTATGGCCAATATTAAAATTTTTCACATGTAGTCATATGCCCCCGATCTTTTGATCCGAGGGTATAAAAATACTGCATATCAGATCTTTGGTCAAGAGAAAGGTCAGTTGCTGATCCTACAACTTTAGTTAGGATATAATAATGCATTCATGTTAAGGGGTAAAATACCTAAAAATGGTCATATCCATATATGGAATAGCAACAAGCTGTAAAACTCATAAAAGACCAGATACTTATTTATTGATTTTTAATTCAAACAAGACATAAGACTTGAGATCAAAATTCCAGCTTGAGCATGAGAACGGTTTCATGAATACGGGCCCAGATACTTACATCACTTATCTCTCGCGCATTTGTCTCCCCTTTTCCTTTCAATTTCATTCTGCAGATTCTGAAACAATAAAAAGAAGGATATTTTGGGAGAATTAAAAAGGTTTAAGATTAGATCGTCACAGAGAACTAATTTTTCATTTTTGACAGCGAGATCATCTAGACTGATAATTAATGTATCAATGATCATGACTCCCCACAGTAATATTGAAATAGAGGATCTTACACTTGTGTCAATATGATATTTAATTTATTGAAACAAGTTCTACAATTTGACATGTCACAGGTCTTTATTTGAGTTCAATAAATTTGAAAATATCACAATTTTTTAAGTAAGTGACATACCAAATTATTTTGCCAGTGTAATAAATTCCATATTGCATGGACACAAATGTAAGATTCTATTTATCATAAAGATCATATTTCTGAAAAATCAAGCAAAAACTCTCAAATCAATTTCTCTGTAAGGTAGACTTCTTTAGATCCAGTAAATATTTCACTACCAGGACAATCATGTGACAATATCATGACACGACTTATTTATGACATCACAAAAGTGTTATTACATGTCTCATGATGTTTACAATATAACTCAATGATGTGACACAATAGATCAATTATATAATAAACAGGATTCCAAAAACAGTTTTGATATAACTTAAATCTCAATTGAATTGGCTTGATTTCATTTATATCTTAATCAATAACAGTTTTGAAGAGTCAAGAATATGTTAATAAGAAGTTAATATGCAACCCTGTATCTCAGTCAGGTGATTTGGACACTTTCAGTCACTTTATGGAACAATGGAGGGAACATCTCATTGGGTTCGATGGGAGGAATCACAGACATTGTTGTGTGGGCTATTCATGAAGACCAGTCACCAGAAGGAGCTCATATATGAACTGTAGGGTGTGTATAGGGTGTGAATAGATTAGGGTTTATAGGCTATAGGTAGTAGCATATTCTATAATATCTTCAGATCTTCATAGTAGTGTATAGACTGGTGTGAAATATCATTATTGGTAGTGTGAATCTGTCGTGTGAGAGATTTCCTGATGATAGGTGTACCATATGTATATATTAACCGAGACTAGAGCCAACGCCATGATTTTTAGAACAGGTGTATAATGTTCCCAATACCCGTCACTTGGATACCTACGCCAGTATGCAGGGCGATTGAAGAATCAGGAGCAATCAATTGATATGTATAGATTTGTACAGTAGCCGTTGTAAATTGTACTAAATATAAATATTGTAAACTGTTGTTTTCTCTTGTGTTCCGATCCATCATCTCCATTAGCTTACACACGGTACAACCTTTTTGTTGTCATTAACAACAGGTTAGCTAGATATACACTGAATACACCAACTCACCTTGCCTGAATGAGCGATCCTCGACCACAAATTTGAATTTCACTCGGAGGGTCGATGGTGGTAAATAGGACATCAGGCACCTTTCTCTTTCTGTGAAGATATAAACATTTCATCTCCAATCTTAAATACATACACAAATTATCATCTGTAAAAACTTTAATTCACTGTGTGTGAGAATGTCTGCACAAGATAGGTTCTAAGATGGAAATTATTTCATCTCTATATTTCAAAAGACACAGAAGACTATCAAACTAGAAAATATCTGTAAGACACCAACTCCTGACAAATTTCTGTTCAGAGTAAACTTGACCTTGACTTTAAAAACCCTGTAGCACAAACTTACACAAGGCAGCAATGTAAAATAAAGATTCCCCACGGTACATATATATCTTACACTTGATCTTTGAATAAATTTTAAATGTGATCCCTGAAGAAATCATGTCACCAGAGTGAAAAAAAGTGATTCCATACAAGATGGGACAGACATTTTATTAACTATACCCCCCACCCTCACAATACGGTGACATAATAAACCTTAGCATTAATAACAGGCTATCTTTGGGTAGATATATCATATTGTTATGTCTATCAATAAAAAATCTCATTTTCCAAGCCACTTTGCTGTATTGTAAACAGACAGAACAGCAGAGATTAAGACATTTAAATTCATCACACGTTTTTCAGAATCGATTCATACCAATTGTGTAATGTTCAGTGTCAATTATGAAAAATTCAGTTACACTTACTTGCATATGGCACAAACAGCGAGCTTGACAGGGAAGGGGGTGGAGCTAGCCTTATATGGTATATGACATAATGAACAGTTACTCTGGATGCTATCCTCAAACCTGGAGAAAAGAATTCTGGTATTAGGGATCAGATCAATGAAAAAGTAAAACTGAAGAATAAAACATCTTGACAGAGTTATATTGAAATGTCATTATAAATCAAAAAGTGAGGCAAAAGACCTAAGAACACAGACAAATAAAAACATCTTGAAGTTTGTTGATTGGAGTTATTGCCCTGTCAACAGTTAGTCATTATGAGCTTGGGTCTCTTTGTAATAGCTGGTGGTTACCTTACCGAACAAGATATGGGAGGTCCATCACATGCCTTTAGGAGTGATTGGGGTAAACGTATTGCCTAAGGACATAATCACAACTCTGAACTTCTCGAGAAATATAGACTGCACAAGTAATTTGTACGGAGTGTCACACACCACATACAGATCTTCGCCTGTGGTGATGTTGGACGAGGCTGTACTGACTGAGCTACTACATCCCCACATCCAAAATAATGGGCACAATACATGATCATACACACAGGTGATTATATCAAAGTGTGACATATTACATATGAAAACAATAATATCTTCCCTCAAATTACTGTTTGAATACCTAAAACAAGAAACAGGTTGTTTCCATCCCTGACTTGTAAGGTCACTACTCTGATGTGTCTCAAAGCTATAGCTATATACAGATAGGTGCCAGGAAAAATTGTTTTGAAAGACATGAATGGTTATATATATACTTCCAATCACATGATATCTACTCCCATATGATTGGTTACACTTATATTTATTCATAGTCTCCACAGGAAGTTTTCTTTTGGCCAACTTGATTGGCTACACTTCAACTTACAGTCTCCATGGAAAGTTTTGTTTTGATAAACTTGGTTCACTGTATACATACCCAAAACCTCCATGGAAAGTTTTGTTTTGATAAACTTGTTTCACTGTATACATACCCCAAACCTCCATGGAAAGTTTTGTTTTGATAAACTTGTTTCACTGTATACATACCCCAAACCTCCATGGAAAGTTTTGTTTTGATAAACTTGTTTCACTGTATACATACCCCAAACCTCCATGGAAAGTTTTGTTTTGATAAACTTGTTTCACTGTATACATACCCCAAACCTCCATGGAAAGTTTTGTTTTGATAAACTTTGTTCACTGTATACGTACCCCAAACCTCCATGGAAAGTTTTGTTTTGATAAACTTGTTTCACTGTATACATACCCAAAACCTCCATGGAAAGTTTTGTTTTGATAAACTTGTTTCACTGTATACATACCCCAAACCTCCATGGAAAGTTTTGTTTTGATAAACTTGTTTCACTGTATACATACCCCAAACCTCCATGGAAAGTTTTGTTTTGATAAACTTGTTTCACTGTATACATACCCCAAACCTCCATGGAAAGTTTTGTTTTGATAAACTTGTTTCACTGTATACATACCCCAAACCTCCATGGAAAGTTTTGTTTTGATAAACTTGTTTCACTGTATACATACCCCAAACCTCCATGGAAAGTTTTGTTTTGATAAACTTGGTTCACTTTATACGTACCCCAAACCTCCATGGAAAGTTTTGTTTTGATAAACTTGATTGGCAAGATTAACATCCACAAACAGTCTCTTGTCCTTGTCCATCTGGGCACGCTCGTGGGAAGGTACTACAGGCTGACTCTGTTGCCGTAGTAGCTGAGTGAGGTCAGAGGACACTGTTACTCGAGCTGCTGTCCCCATGGCAGAGAGGACAATCACTTCATCACTACAAAAGTAATATTCATATTCACTACAGTAACTGGTCACACTGATACTCAAACTTGATCATTTTTCCTGTAAAAGACCTATAAAATTATGAGCAAAAAATGTTGATGTGCATAGAAAATGGAGCTAGATTTAGACATAGATTCAGTTTTATTTCCTAATTTTATGTAGAAATTGGATCCGAATTCATGAAGAGTGACTGTCTATACAGCTTGTAGTCAAAATAATGTTAACATAATTGTTCTACTGACCAGATAGATGTGTGTTCAGAATAGCCAAGGACAGCGTGACATCCCATAGCACGAGCATGAGATCTGATCTCGGTACGTATCTCCGTCCACCAGGCGTCGCGGGTCTCTGGTTCCTCTGTAGAACACAAACTACAACGGTCACCAGCAGTACACTGAGCAAAAACAGGGAATAAATATTTGAAATTTTCATTTTGATTTCTGAAAACATAATAACTGTAAACCACCTGTATTTCACATGCGATTTATTTCCGCGTTGATATGCGAGTAGAGTCAATTGCGAATTCAACACTCTGGATACCATTTGCACTTAAATACCTCTGGATACCCATGCTGATTCAGTAAGTGATATCAGAGTCTTGAAGAGTCCACATCTTTATACCTCATCATTTGCAAATTTAAAGTCATTTCTAGATTAGCATTCCCAAAAATCATGTATTCGTGAATAAATCTGAAGAGGTGAGTTCGTGAAATAAAGTATTCACGAAATCTAAATGATTGACAGTACAATGTACCGGGTAATCTTGTACTGCTAACGTGAGATTTCTCATTCATATTTTTCAATATCATGTAAAATATCAGAAAACAGCAAAAAATAGTGGTAATTATTCTATATTTGGTTTTCTGTTTAAATTTCAACTTCTCTATCTTATGTACATGATTATGATATCAAATGCTTTACCACAAAAGTTGAACAACATTGTTGAAAAGTAAATTACAAATATGAAAATAAAGACATATATCAAAGCCTCTGCTTCTATACACAGCAGTATCATTGTTTGATGAATTTGCAGTTGTTGTCCCGATATAACAGACTACTTCATTCTGGTTAGTCCAGCACCTGGGTTGTGAATCTTGTCCAGAAGTTTGACCGAGCGGGCAGACACCACGCCTCCAAGGTGAACAATGAAACCTGGAGGGAAGGATGTCATCGTGAAGAAGGGGTACTCCTGGAAAATAACAGCTGGTTCAATACAGTACAGTTCTACACAGATAATTCAGCAAGGAATCACACATGATGTTTAAATTTATTTATCACACAGAAACTAAATTTCTGTACAGAAATACTGGACCTAAACACTTTTTAATAAGAATGAATCAATCCAACAGATTGGAGGCGGGTTCTTCAAAGTTTTATTAGGTAGTTGGTCTACCGGTTTCGCCCATATAATAGGGCTTCATCAGGACAACATTACCTTGAAAATTATTCCCTAAAGTACATTCAAGGCGGGCAAATTTACATTGTTGCTTGTGACGTTATCAATTAAGGTCGATAACTCTTTTCACTATTATTACTATTATGAACACATAATGTGTGACAGTAAATTCCTTCACGGTTATAAAATGTAAAATTATAGTAAGTATAAACAATTAACCCAGTACATTAATTTTCATCTAAACATAGTGTAGACATGGATTCTGACTTGTAATTCAATTCACGGTAATCCACACGCTCACCCCTTCTCATCAATCCCCTGCATACCCTAGGGTATCCAGACGGGAGGCGATTAACCTGCAGACCTCCATTGATGCAACAACAGCGTTGGCTCTATCCATTACACATTTTTAATAAGAAATTACAATACTAATTTTGAGGCTGATCATGCCAGCGGAATTTAAGTAGTTGAGTGGAGAGTAAGTGTCATCTTCAAACTATGGTGACCTTGACTTTCTCTTTTAAACTGTGAATATGAGAATCGATTCTGATATAGGCAGCTATACAAGGGAAGTAACCCATAATGTTTGAGGTTGGTTAGTCCATTGGAACAGAAGTTTACAAACATGGAAAGCAATTCTCTGTACAAAGTACAAATAACCCTCCAACAGTTAACCTAAACCCTTAAAAATAATTGGATGTTACTGTGTTGACACAAATGTATTGTATAAACTCAAGTCTGATCTACCCCTACAAGAATAAATCATTGTGGAAGAAATGAGTTTTTATTTCTTACTATATTCATTTTTTTTTCCAGAAAATATATTCCTTGGCAAGCAATTAAGGTAATGAAAACACTGTATACAGCTCAATTTAAACCGATTAAAGTTTATTATATGGACAAGAAGGATAGATATATCACGGGGAAAATCAACATCATTATCATATCATCATCTAACTTAACCTTGAAGACTAATTTACATAATGCATCATAGATTTACAACACATGATCAGCCGGACAGAAATTTTTTATTGAATGTAGATGTTTAATGTCCTCACTTTCCTAATGTCGTTTGGATTTATAATTTATTAATATTTTACGATCAAGAATGTACCATCATCTCTATACTGGGCTGCTGGGCTGATAACTTCGGTATGGTTTTTCCTCCACTACCAAACGCACTGCCACTTCCACTGCTCTCAGTCAGACTGCTGTTTCCTGGAATAAAATTGACACTATTGTTCACTGGTGCCACAACAAACAGATCATCACAGCTCTCAAGTCAGACCAGCAGTCTTAAATGTGGCATGATCTAAAAAAAGCCTACAGTGTGAGCAGTAGTACCTAGTACAGTGACCCACCAGTAACGATACCTGGTGCCTGTCTGATTCCTGTTAGAGTGTTGGTAATACTATAGCTAAATGGAAAGCCACACAAAATGCAGGTTTCGGTGATGCTGGTACTGATGCAGTACTCAATGAAGATATATGCATAGAAACGTATGAACATGACTGCTCAACTTCTCCAACATGAGTATTGGTGCTACATATAAAATCTAAGCAAGATATACTATTGGTGGAGATACCAGGTTAATCATAACCATGTAGGTAAATCAAGGGGAGACAACTTCACAAAGCACCCCCCTTTATAAAGTGGCAACAGGATAAAAACACTTGATTTTATATTCACTGTAGATTTCTACCTTTAGGTGGAGTGTTGTAAATAGCCTACCTTTAGGTGGAGTGTTGTAAATAGCCTACCTTTAGATGGAGTGATGTAAATAGCCTACCTTTAGGTGGAGTGTTGTAGATAGCCTACCTTTAGGTGGAGTGTTGTAAATAGCTTACCTTTAGGTGGAGTGTTGTAAATAGCCTACCTTTAGGTGGAGTGTTGTAAATAGCCTACCTTTAGGTGGAGTGTTGTAAATAGCCTACCTTTAGGTGGAGTGTTGTAAATAGCCTACCTTTAGGTGGAGTGTTGTAAATAGCCTACCTTTAGGTGGAGTGTTGTAAATAGCCTACCTTTAGGTGAAGTGTTGTAAATAGCCTACCTTTAGGTGTTGTAAATAGCTTACCTTTAGGTGGAGTGTTGTAAATAGCCTACCTTTAGGTGGAGTGTTGTAAATACCCTACCTTTAGGTGGAGTGTTGTAAATAGCCTACCTTTAGGTGGAGTGTTGTAAATAGCCTACCTTTAGGTGTTGTAAATAGCTTACCTTTAGGTGGAGTGTTGTAAATAGCCTACCTTTAGGTGAAGTGTTGTAAATACCCTACCTTTAGGTGGAGTGTTGTAAATAGCCTACCTTTTGGTGGAGTGTTGTAAATAGCTTACCTTTAGGTGGAGTGTTGTAAATAGCCTACCTTTAGGTGAAGTGTTGTAAATACCCTACCTTTAGGTGGAGTGTTTTAAATAGCCTACCTTTAGGTGGAGTGTTGTAAATAGCCTACCTTTAGGTGGAGTGTTGTAAATAGCCTACCTTTAGGTGGAGTGTTGTAAATACCCTACCTTTAGGTGGAGTGTTGTAAATACCCTACCTTTAGGTGGAGTGTTGTAAATAGCCTACCTTTAGGTGGAGTGTTGTAAATAGCCTACCTTTAGGTGGAGTGTTGTAAATACCCTACCTTTAGGTGGAGTGTTGTAAATACCCTACCTTTAGGTGGAGTGTTGTAAATAGCCTACCTTTAGGTGGAGTGTTGTAAATAGCCTACCTTTAGGTGGAGTGTTGTAAATAGCCTACCTTTAGGTGGAGTGTTGTAAATACCCTACCTTTAGGTGGAGTGTTGTAAATAGCCTACCTTTAGGTGGAGTGTTGCTTATATCAGAATCTGAAGATCTCCGTCGTATTCGTTGTGTTAGCAGTGGTGAGACTTTCACTGGTGAAGTGGTGCTCTGTTGTACATGGCAAGGAGGGGAGGAAGGTACAACAGCATCCTCAGGCACAGGGGAACTGAAATGGAAACTAAATGCTGATTGGCCATTATGGAAGGGCGGAGCTGAAGGCGGAGGTGATGAAAGAGGTGATTGCTTGACAGGCGTATGGGGTGGAGTCCCAACATGGTGAAATGGAAGAGATCTTGACATGGATGAGTAAACAGCATGCCGCAGACTGAAAGTATAGGGATATAAAGTGGTGTAAGATCACTGTATACACAGGTTAAATGCTTCAACCAACAACATCAAGACCTTAACTTCTTTTATCTACTATTTTGGCCATAATATTCCTTGATCTCTAGGAAACACTTTAAATTGTGGGACAAATCCTGATATAAAAAATCTTTTTCAAATCAAAATAAAACAAATTCCAAAAAATCAAATCAAAGTTTAGTTAAATAGGTATTGGTTTAAGGGGTAATTACATTTTCTTTCCAAATATATAAGATAAATTTGTAGTAATATTATTAAAAATAAAACAGTTCAGTATTTGGTAAATCATAATGCTTGTTGCTGCTATTGATCAGGTTTTTATAATTAAATAACACACACTACAAATCTTGCAAATGGCCCAATTTTTGTATAGGTTTAATGTGAGCTTTGTGTGTCACCACTACTAAACAACCACTTTCACAACACTGTAGGAGATAGGGTGGGACAATGCTGATAACACTGTAGGGGATAGGGTGGGACAATGCTGATAACACTGTAGGAGATAGGGTGGGACAATGCTGATAACACTGTAGGAGATAGGGTGGGACAATGCTGATAACACTGTAGGAGATAGGGTGGGACAATGCTGATAACACTGTAGGGGATAGGGTGGGACAATGCTGATAACACTGTAGGGGATAGGGTGGGACAATGCTGATAACACTGTAGGGGATAGGGTGGGACAATGCTGATAACACTGTAGGAGATAGGGTGGGACAATGCTGATAACACTGTAGGGGATAGGGTGGGACAATGCTGATAACACTGTAGGAGATAGGGTGGGACAATGCTGATAACACTGTAGGGGATAGGGTGGGACAATGCTGATAACACTGTAGGGATAGGGTGGGACAATAAACACTGTAGGGGATGGGACAATGCTGATAACACTGTTGGAGATAGGGTGGTACAATGCTGATAACACTGTAGGGGATAGGGTGGGACAATGCTGATAACACTGTAGGGATAGGGTGGGACAATGCCGATAACACTGTAGGGGATAGGATGGGACAATGCTGATAACACTGTAGGGGATAGGATGGGACAATGCTGAAAACACTGTAGGAGATTGGGTGGGACAATGCTGATATCACTGTAGGGGATATGGTGGGACAATACTTAAAACACTGTAGGAGATAGGGTGGGACAATGCTGATAACACTGTAGGGGATAGGATGGGACAATGCTGATAACACTGTAGGGGATAGGGTGGGACAATACTTAAAACACTGTAGGAGATAGGGTGGGACAATGCTGATAACACTGTAGGGGATAGGATGGGACAATGCTGAAAACACTGTAGGGGATAGGATGGGACAATGCTGATAACACTGTAGGGGATAGGATGGGACAATGCTGATAACACTGTAGGGGATAGGATGGGACAATGCTGAAAACACTGTAGGGGATAGGATGGGACAATGCTGATAACACTGTAGGGGATAGGGTGGGACAATGCTGATAACACTGTAGGGGATAGGATGGGACAATGCTAATAACACTGTAGGAGATTGGGTGGGACAATGCTGATATCACTGTAAAGGATAATGTATTGCAGGAGATTGGAGTGTCAGATAACCAACTTCAACCACCAATGTACAGAAGTTGTCAGGAAACTACTAATTTCACATTGAGGGAGAGGGATCTGACAGAACATTTGTGAAAATGGTTGATAGTTGTTGATAACTTAGTAACACCCGATGTGAAGGTTATAAACCACACCAAACCCATCCAACACCATTCAAGGGAACATAGCTCTGACATATATAGACCAGCTACAAAACTAGTCAAAAAGGTACATACCCCTAACACACACCAACAAACAACACCAATATCCAGTCAAATGATGGTTAGTATTATCATAAATAAAGACCTGTAGTTCCTAGATACATACATTTCTACCATGGATACATAGCGGTATTTCAAATAACCAGCCAATGAAAATCAAGCATACAGATGACATGATTGTCCAGGATAAATACAGGTATATTCTAGTGGTTTGTGATGGTAAACACAATGATATATATATCATCATATCAAATTTAATAAATTCTGTGAATAAAGCTGCTAATTCATGGAACAAGATAAATTTCAAAATAGCATAAAAATGATGTTTTAAATTCATGGTTTAAAAATTTCAGGAAAATTGAATCGAATAGAAAATGCAAAAAAGATAACACCATATATTTCAAATTCCTAATTGCATTCATTCCCATACATCCATGCTGACTGCTTAATGCTGCCTACACAGATAACACTAATGATTAACCTTATACAAAAGACTTTTATTCAACAAGCGGTCAAGTCTGAAATCTCTTATCTTGACCAATGACCACCGAAGTCTAATTATCGGTCTATAACTAGAGCCTAGATCACAACCAACATGCCACTCAGTTTTCACTGACCATTAAGAGCCTATGTTAGTTACATTGAATACCACTTTTCTTGGTTAAAAAACCTGAAAATATTTTGGTTATAGTGTGGGGACAATTATATGATTAAAGAAGAAAATAAACACAAATGTTCTGTGACTATCTAAATGTCAACATTCCATACTCTGTATTCATTGTTTGTTACACTGTGTCAGTTTGAACAGACAACAAAAGAAAAATACATGATTTTAACTTTTGCAAGTTCACTGTAGTCACAAAATTTGCAAATATAAAAAAAAAAAATACACAATAGACAGTGTATCATATCTTCAATAAAATCATTCTATTTCAAGAGCGGTAAATTGTGACCTTCAACCTTTCAATTTCGTCCAATGACTAATAAGGATCTAACCAAGTGTTGGACTCAATGTTATGCCAATATGGTATTTATAAAAAAAACTGATATATTGAGGATTTCATGGCATATCGTTATCACAACTTTATGCTATGTATTTACCATGACATAGCCCAATCACAGATATTAACTGTAAACTCAACCTCAGTCAAGGGCAGACAATCTATAAAAAAATTTCAACGGAGACAAAGTTGAGAATTTGATGTTAAAGAATGTTAGTCTGAGACTGAAATTGATTGATCTCAAACAAATACCAGTAATAGATTCTTTTTTTCTCATACCTAACTTTGTCAAAAATGCATAAAAAAATTCCTCGTTATGTTCCAAATTCTTTGATTTGGCTCTATTACCTCCATTTTTGGTTATACATCAAAAAGGCATTTCAATATGACATCCTGTTAATTATGGTGTCACTTGGCACCAAATAATGTATAACAGTACTAGACAGATTGGAGGAGACAGAAAAATGTAGCATTGGGTTATCATATGAAATTTCTTTGCCTCATGCACAAGAAAAAGTGATTTCTGTTCTTTTTTTTTTTTTTTTTGGGGGGGGGGGGGGGGGGGGGGGGGGGGGATGGTTATTTATCAACAACATAGAAGGCAAACCTGTTAAATAACAAACAGAAAATGTCTCAAGTATTTATACTATTTGTGCACAAAAATGTACATAAAAGTTTACAATGTTCAACAAAAATTTCTACATGTGTTAAAGCTCTATAATGATACACCATTTAATCTGTATTTCACTACAAACTATAAGTCAAGGTTAAAGGTTATCTATACGTTAGTGTTACGTTTGTATTGTCAATTTGCTTCACAAGTGTTTCAATGTCCTCAAAAAATAAATAAATGTTCAAACTTCTACACAATATCAAAAAACCTCATCAAGGTGAACATGCTTGAAAGTGTAATTTAATTTTCAAACTTTGATAGAATTTTGTGGTAAAAAGTCAAAAAGGTAAGCAGCACTTTATTCCTGATTTTGAAGGCAGAAGATGAACATTCATGCAGACAGAAAAGGAACATTACATATAAGTGTTTATAGAGTCAGTGTGAATAAAACAGGTGAGGCAGGCCAGCTACCAGGTGATTAGATACAATACAGGTACAAAAACAAACAATTACCTTACACAAGTATCTTGTACCCTTAGCAATAATGTTCCAATGAAAAACATAATAAAATATATTAGACTTTAACAGTCTTCATATCAAATTTATATTAAATACAGAAGTACGCGGCAAATCTTAGAACAGCATATTGGCTCTCAGTAGACCTTTCAGGGTTTATTGTTAACACTGATAGTCACCTGACTTCCTAAAATTAAGATTGGCACTTGGACTTGATCAGATATGAAACAAAGTTTGCCTGTTCTTAATCAATAAAAATGTTATTGGATTTCTGTATGTGCTTGATGTAAAAGGTCAACTGAAAGCCCTTCAGTGTTGTATAAGCTGACTGATAATGTTAATTTAGTAAAGGCATTGAACATTACATGCCTCGATGCAGTTTTTTATTTGTTTAAATCTGTCATTCGCTACTTTGTTTGAAGAGTAATCCAGATAAGAGGATATTTGTGGGTCGGGACAAGAGAGGAGCAAAAATCTTCTATGAAAGTCTTAGCCTCAAAAACTGCTGACAGATGCAGTTTGAATTGTGTTAAAAACTTTAATTACCCTCCTCATATGATCATACCTGGATTAGCCTTGATTATCAAAGTAACAATACTTTTCAACAAAAACTGATAATGATTGTGTCAGAAAATAAAAATAGCAAGCTAAACATTATTAGCAACTGTCAGTCAGCAGGGTATTGTTTGCACATATCTCAAGGAAAAATGTGATAATTTATTTAGGCAGTGTAAAAATTCAAAGACAGATTTCAAAGTCACCTTCACTTGTCAAATATGTTTATTTCAACTGACAAAGAGAAAATTTACATTTCTATAAATGCCTGACAAACACGAGATAATTACAGTTATTCCCCTTTCTACTTACTCTTTAGGCTGTGGTGAGACCCCTAATGGGGACGGCACAGGCTTGAGGTCTGGTCTGCTGATTGTAACTGCTGTACCGATGCTTCGAACCACAATCCCAGACTCACCTTCTAAATCAAAACACTGAGTATACCTATAACAACATAAAAAGGCAAGACAGAATTATTTGAAGGAATATCCGATTTGTCAAATGGCACATACTTTTCAGTTTAACACTGATTTGAACCTACAAAACTAACTGATGAAGGAACATCCATGCCATTGAACAGATAAATACAGTATTACAGGGAAAGATTTTAAAATGTCTCTTGAAAAATCATCATAAATCATTTCTGGCCGACATCATCTGATTGAAAATTGACCAAATTCCTGGGAACAAAATTGTGAAATTGCAGTACCAGTAAGTGTTGTCAGATATTTTCAAAGCTACGATTCACATCATCTATTGACAGTCAATCAGATATCCGGCCGAGATAGCCCAGTCACTAGCATAATATCTCGCTGGGATTATTTCACAGGATGTTTAGAGATAACAGTCAGTAAGGAGGATGGAACAGAAGTCTTATGAATGAATTTATTTTAAGCGGTTTAAGAGATATGTCCTGAAAACTTATCAATAGCAGAAGGCATTAGACATTCACAATAACTTCAAATAAAGAGTTATTTGAAGTTATTGTGAATGGTTTTCGAGACATACTCAGGAAAACACCCTGAAAATGAGGGACAGACAGGCAGTTGATTCATCTGTATATCCTCACCAACCTTCAACCTCAAACTGTTTAAGAGATATGTCTTTCATGGTAACAAAAAAATATTGAAAGCGAAAACTGCCCCATAGCAAAAACCACTACTACACCACTTGACTGATGTGTGTAGAAAGCTTTTTGAAATTATCTTGAATGGTTCTAAAGATACTAGAGAACACCCTAAAACAGCCGGAAGGACAGATGGGACATGTTTGTATATACCTCTGCCAACCTTCCTCGGGCAGGGAATAGCGACTAACCCTAATTAAACACCTACACTTATTACTAATTAACTACTTGCTTACCCTATTACAGAGTTACCACTGAGCTCTAGAACTTTCAGTCCAATCTTCCTCTGCAATTCCCCTATATAAACGAAGCAACAAAAACATGTTTAGCATATCTCAGTTTAGAAATTCAATATTTGAAATGTATACACCATCTGATCAATATTTTGTAAAAGTTTAGTAAAATATTAGTTCATGTATATTTACAACTAAATTTGCTTCCAACAACACTCTGATAACATCAAAGCCATTCTTATCACATAACAAGTACTAATTGTAATGGGGACCATTACAAATGTCCCCCAAACGACCCCTTCAGCAGTTAATGATCACAATGATCAGACCTGCAGTCATGCCAAACATGAACACACCAATTTTGAATGGAAATGAGGACGTAAATTTTTAAAACATCAGAAGAGAGGAAATGGTGATGCTTTTAGTTAGCTACGCCATTTTGCTCCTAGTACTACGTAATACATATATACCAATTTTCACGAAAATCAGACAATATCTAAAATTTGGCCAAATTTTGACCACAGCTGACCGCTCAGATGACCCATCGATGGCCGAATAAAAAATGGACTATGCCATTTTGCTCTGATTGCCACCTAATACATATATACCAATTTTCACAAAAATCATCGGACAATATCTAAAATTTGGCCAAATTTAGACCACAGCTGACCGCTCAGATGACCGATCGATTCGGACAATATCTAAAATTTGGCCAAATTTAGACCACAGCTGACAACTCAGATGACCGATCGATTCGGACAATATCTAAAATTTGGCCAAATTTAGACCACAGCTGACAACTCAGATGACCGATCGATTCGGACAATATCTAAAATTTGGCCAAATTTAGACCACAGCTGACAACTCAGATGACTGATCGATTCGGACAATATCTAAAATTTGGCCAAATTTAGACCACAGCTGACAACTCAGATGACTGATTGGAACAAGAGGTCCTAGAAGCCTTAACGGTTACCTGAGGAATATACGTAAATAATCTGGGGATTTTAAAATGTTGCAAAAATGTAACAACACTTGTGCAGGAACGTGTGTAAAACATCTGTACCAAGTTTGAACATGATCCACCCAGTGGTTCTTGAGAGGAAGTCCAAAATATCTTAGCCAAACAGAGGCCAGGGTGGCCATCTTGGATTTTGAATCGCCCCAAAAAGTTAAAACACTTGCCAGGACCTTGCGTAGAACATTCGTATCAAGTTTAGACTTGATCAACCCAGTGGTTCTGGAGTCTTGACAAGTTGAAAATGTCTCAGCCAATCAGAGGCCATGGCAGCCATCTTGGATTTTGAATTGAACCAAAAAGTAACAACACTTATGTAGGACATTGTGTTGAACATCTGTATCAAGTTTAGACATGATCAACTCAGTGGTTCTTGAGAAGAAAATCCATCCACTGGTTCTTGAGAAGAAGTCATTTAAAGAAAGTTTTTACATATGGCCTCTTTTACACCCCTTATGGTCCCCAAAGGGGACATTATCACTTTTTTTAACTTAATTTCATATGTCCTTCACTAAGGGACGCTGTCTACCAAATTTGGTTGAAATCGGTCAAAGTTGAATTTTCAATCCTTTTGAGCGCCCCCTAGTGAGGCTGTTTTTGACCCGATTTTTTTTCATTCACAATCTTTGTAGACCTTGCCATAAGGACCCTAAATATCAAATATTAACTTAATATGACTGTTGGTTCATGAGAAGAAGATTTTTAAAGATTTACCTAATTTTACCCCCTTTTTCCCCCTCCTGGGGCCATGCCCTTTTTCTTCGCAAACTTGAAGCGGCTTCCCATGGGGATGCTTTGTGCCAAGTTTGGTCAAAATCCAATAAGTGGTTCTTGAGAAGAAGTCGAATATGTGAAAAGTTAACGACGCACGACGACAGACAAATTATGAGGGCAATGGGTCACCATGACCTAAAAATATAATAATAATAAGAAGAAACGGAGCAAACACAATATGTCCCCCCACTTCGTTTGGGGGACATAGTAAAAGAAACAAGTGACTGGAGTTTTGCTTTACGTATGATAAATAATTTTAACAGAGAATGGTTGCTATGGTTACCAGATAGCCTTGAAAATAGCCTTTGTCTGGCCTCATTGGAAGCTCTGGGTGTGCGTATCTTATCAATCCACTGATACTCTGGGTCATCATTGACAACCAACTCCTCCACAAAACCATGGATCATTTGGAGTCTGTACCCACATGGAACTTCAGCAGCTGTAACAAACAAGACCATCCCTGATAGGTTAAGTATCAATATAGCACACTTGATTCTATGTGCTCTCAATGCTGTTTGTTACAGGTTTTGAAAAGAAATGAGAAAAATGTGTTTTCCACCTGTACAACTGACTTCTTTGTTTAAACATAGAATAAACTCTACATTTTAAAGATAAAATTTTATAAATTTTCAGGGTTTTTTTTTTTCTCACTAAATCAAACTTCTGACATATTTTTTTTTCTCACCATATAAAACTTCTGACATTTTGTTATTTGGTTTTTTTCTCATTGTATCAAACTACTGGCATTTTGTTTTTTGGGTTTTTTCTCATCATAACAAACTTCTGACATATCTTCATTGTATCATTAATAATGTTTACATGATTTTTTTCAACTGGACTTCTGTCTCCAGGACAAGTTTTAAAAAATACATTAATATCATAATCTGGTTTTTTCATATGAATTACCATGTTTTCTCATTAGTTAACACTGAAGGACACCAAAATGTCTATTTCAAGTTCACAGCAGTATCAGATCTTGACATATTTTAATGAAATATATTTCTATACAATAATCCGCAGCATCTGTAAATTGACAACCTTGTATGGGAGTTATCTTTATAAATTCTAATCTTTCATTAATTAAGCATTTTGAATTTGATATTTAATAATGATACAGCTGATTTAGTTATCTCAAACTTTACAGGACCAGGTGAAAAATTTTAGACAACCAAGTATTCAATTGAAGTGAGTTGAAATGTTTTCAGTGAAGTTAGACTGAGACTGACAAAATGCTTCGAATTAATCCGGGGTCTTCAAGTTACAAAAGTTCGAGATAATGAGGCTCGACTGTATTTTATATGATCCTTGTTTTTGAAGCCAAGCAATAAAATGAAAATTTGATAAATTGAAAGGTTTACAACTCACTGCTGAAAAACTGAACTCCACACGAGGACTGTCGGAATTTGTTGAAATCACTGAAGAGCTCGACTTTGACAATGACATTGAGCTCTCCTCTAATCCCTGAAAGAAAATTTGAGATCTTGAAATCTAATGCCAGAAAATTTAGAGCATTCAGCATGTAATTAACACATCACCATATCATTTATATGATATATGAACTTATTTATTTGGAAGTTAATTTCTTCCATACAGAATATGAGGTGAAAACATGATGGTTTTCTGGCATAGAGTTACTTCCCTTGATCTCATTTTAACACAACAGTTTTTGATAAAGTTTTTGTACTTCTGGTTTTATACATATTAACTCAAAGCATGAACAACTTAATATGTATCAAAAATACGATACTTCTGAAGATGACTATATTGGTGACAAATGTACTGGTAGCAGTATATCTAAACTTGATGGTACCTTTGACTGTACAAGCATAGACAGAAAAGTCACTAACCATGCATGGTATCGTATATTGGGAACCAGCCGCTGATAACATGAGGGTTGTCCTTGGTCAGTAGTGGGTTCAGGTCGATGTACACTTTACCTATGGCATCATGGGCGCTGTATGTATCATGGTCCAGGACCCTTTAACATCAATGACAAACATAGCCAAAAATAGTTACACAGAGCTGAAAATGAGTTCAGCACGACTACAGCAGGACTACATTATCAGAATCCAAAAAATCACTGTAATGCCTAAATATCTTTATTATATGAATCATGCTCTAATCATAAACGCAAGAAAATGTTAATTTACCAAGCACATCAGATTATCAGCCATTTATCAAACCATGTCAACTCTTGACTTACACTATTTTTCTAATCTACATATTTTGGTCCAGTTCTCATTTCTATTAGTGTGTGCTATTTATTTTTCATAAGGTAATTTAAACGCCAAAACCACTTAAACATGCCATAGTATTTTTCATGGTAAAATTTTTTTCCCCCTTTTGTCCGAGTTCTTCAATTTTCTTCTTCTGTTGAACAACAAATTCAAATTTCCGCCTGATGGCAACTGCCCAAAGTGGGCAGGAAAAAGCATATAATAATTCAGACTCAGCTACATGTTTAATACCCTGTATTTCCTAACAGACTCCAATCCAATGCTTATTAGGTATATCCTCTTCTGGTCAGATATGATGGTTAAAGAAATCTAGTGTTTATCATCAACAAGTCTCCAGATGTCCCCTACCAACATGTATCCAGATAATGTCCCCCTACCAACATGTATCCAGATAATGTCCCCTACCAACATGTATCCAGATAATGTCCCCCTACCAACATGTATCCAGATAATGTTCCCTACCAACATGTATCCAGATAATGTTCCCTACCAACATGTATCCAGATAATGTTCCCTACCAACATGTATCCAGATAATGTTCCCTACCAACATGTATCCAGATAATGTCCCCCTCCCAACATGTATCCATATAATGTCCCCTACCAACATGTATCCAGATAATGTTCCCTACCAACATGTATCCAGATAATGTCCCCTACCAACATGTATCCAGATAATGTCCCCCTCCCAACATGTATCCAGATAATGTCCCCCTCCCAACATGTATCCAGATAATGTTCCCTACCAACATGTATCCAGATAATGTTCCCTACCAACATGTATCCAGATAATGTCCCCCTACCAACATGTATCCAGATAATGTCCCCCTACCAACATGTATCCATATGTCCCCTACCAACATGTATCCAGATAATGTCCCCTACCAACATGTATCCAGATAATGTTCCCTACCAACATGTATCCAGATAATGTTCCCTACCAACATGTATCCAGATAATGTTCCCTACCAACATGTATCCAGATAATGTCCCCTACCAACATGTATCCAGATAATGTTCCCTACCAACATGTATCCAGATAATGTTCCCTACCAACATGTATCCAGATAATGTCCCCTACCAACATGTATCCAGATAATGTTCCCTACCAACATGTATCCAGATAATGTCCCCCTCCCAACATGTATCCATATAATGTCCCCTACCAACATGTATCCAGATAATGTTCCCTACCAACATGTATCCAGATAATGTCCCCTACCAACATGTATCCAGATAATGTTCCCTACTAACATGTATCCAGATAATGTTCCCTACCAACATGTATCCAGATAATGTCCCCTACCAACATGTATCCAGATAATGTTCCCTACCAACATGTATCCAGATAATGTCCCCCTCCCAACATGTATCCATATAATGTCCCCTACCAACATGTATCCAGATAATGTTCCCTACCAACATGTATCCAGATAATGTTCCCTACCAACATGTATCCAGATAATGTCCCCCTACCAACATGTATCCATATAATGTCCCCTACCAACATGTATCCAGATAATGTTCCCTACCAACATGTATCCAGATAATGTCCCCTACCAACATGTATCCAGATAATGTTCCCTACCAACATGTATCCAGATAATGTCCCCTACCAACATGTATCCAGATAATGTTCCCTACCAACATGTATCCAGATAATGTTCCCTACCAACATGTATCCAGATAATGTTCCCTACCAACATGTATCCAGATAATGTTCCCTACCAACATGTATCCAGATAATGTTCCCTACCAACATGTATCCAGATAATGTCCCTACCAACATGTATCCAGATAATGTTCCCTACCAACATGTATCCAGATAATGTTCCCTACCAACATGTATCCAGATAATGTTCCCTACCAACATGTATCCAGATAATGTTCCCTACCAACATGTATCCAGATAATGTTCCCTACCAACATGTATCCAGATAATGTTCCCTACCAACATGTATCCAGATAATGTAATGTATCCCCCTACCAACATGTATCATGTATCCAGATAACATGTATCCAGATAATGTCCCCCTCCAACAACATGTATCCAGATAATGTCCCCCTACCAACATGTATCCAGATAATGTTCCCTACCAACATGTATCCCGATAATGTCCCCCTACCAACATGTATCCAGATAATGTCCCCCTACCAACATGTATCCAGATAATGTTCCCTACCAACATGTATCCAGATAATGTTCCCTACCAACATGTATCCCGATAATGTCCCCCTACCAACATGTATCCAGATAATGTCCCCCTCCCAACATGTATCCAGATAATGTTCCCTACCAACATGTATCCAGATAATGTTCCCTACCAACATGTATCCAGATAATGTTCCCTACCAACATGTATCCAGATAATGTTCCCTACCAACATGTATCCAGATAATGTCCCCCTACCATCCCCAACAAGCTATTACACTGTAGTGATTCATAAACTTATAAATAAGTATAGTTTCTTCACCAATGGGTAATCAAATGTCTTGGTCATTTGTGTGTGAGGTTTGATCAAAATCCTGTAAGGAATGAAACAGCTAGAGCCCCGTTCACAATTTTCTAAAAATAGAAATGGTGACCTTTACCCAACATCTCTGGAACTCAAACCTAAGATATTTTGATGCTTAAAAAGTGTCTGAAGTTTGATGCGAATCTGTTAGGTATTGAAGCTGCTAGAAAACTTTGTCAGAATTAGAATGGACACAGAAAGAGAGGAAAATTATTGTCCCCTTCATCTTGTGCCGTTTTACCAGTAGGAGACGAACAACTCACCTGAGTTCTAATGGGTCATCTTGTAAGGTCTCATCCTCTACCTGTACAAACAATGTTCCACGTTACTCTGATATGTTGCATTATTTAAAAAGATCAATATTTTGGTGACCTTTTAAAAATTTTGAATATGCCAAAAGAAACTAATAATTGTAGGTGTTCTTACATTTAAAAGTAATCTTAATTTTCCAATCAGCATTTCAGATTTAATATCATTTATGTACAAACAAATAACATATACAATAAGTTGTCTCAATATATATAAGAATAATGCTTGTATTTTTAAGCATTTTTTACAAGTATAGTTAACATCACATAAGCATACACACACTCCACACACAGAAACTTGCATACCTGTATAGGATTGTAACTATTTGTGAATCAATAACTTAAGTATATTGTAGATAATATCCTAGTTTACACAACATTCTTATCTTCATAGTTGCCATCAGCATTAGAATATTGCAATCAGGATTCATCCATAGATATATAATTAAGAAAATATGGTCTACAAAAACCAATTACCATTTCTATATACACAACAAAACACATGCCTTTGTCATCTTTATTACACACACACACACACACACACACACACACACTTTCCTTCCACATAGAGAGACAGAGAAAAAGAAAGAGAAGAAAAGAGAGGGTGATAGTGGGCTAAACATTCATATCACATCTATGTATCTCACTCACCAACAATTTCTAATCTTTTTCACTTACATTTTGAAACCCTCACACACTTTAGAGGAGAATAGCAGAGATAAAAAGAGACAAGCAGCAAGGAACAAGACAGAGGGCTAGTGGAAGAGAGAAAAATTATATATGAGTATATTGAAAATCTAAAATACACAATGAAAGGTCATTTTATTCTTTGTAAAGTCTGCTAGTCCTGGAGAAATTTTGAGCTGGTGAAGATTTTATCATGAATATTAAGATAGTATCATTAAGTAGTATTAAGTACACATACTATTGAATGGTTCATCAAGTAACATTTATATATACATGTATGAGTAAAGCTTTATGATGTAGGTATATGAAAACTATGAGTATGATTGAAAGAGAAAGGGTGAAAAAAAAAATATATATAATATATATATATATATATATATATATACTATATTGGCCTAGTAATTATAATGTTATTATACAGCATCAGAGAGTAAAACCAACTGAGGGAAGACTACAGTATTGATACTACACAGTAAAATGAAACTACATCGGTCTATATAATGCATGCAGTTATTTCAGCATAATCAAGTTATCCTAGTGCAGATTGTAAAATGTTTACATACATTATGTCTGAAAAAACTCATACAACAATAGACACATCATAAATCATAGATTATTAAGGGTTTTCATTTTACAGTGAAGTATATTTACCTGCACAAATTATTATGCAATTTCTATCAAAGACTTCCATTTTCTCCATTCATTTTCAAATCTGACCTTTTTGGAGTCCCCTTGACTATTTGCTATATATTTCTGAACAGAGTAGTATTCTTTGATAAAATTTACAAATGCATTAATGTTTAATCTTCTATGATAGCATCTAGTCTTATAGATATAATTCTTAATAATTATTAGTATTACATTGTCAATTTTTGCTGATGTAAGCATTTGATGTTGTAATGAAAATCCAAAGAGAAATTTTTCTTTATTATAAGCAAAAGGAATAACAAGTGCTTCTAGAAGTACTTCAAGACTTTGTAAAAAATTTTGTACTTCCTGACATTCCCACATGATGTGGATTATGGTTTCCTGTTCTACATTGCATAAGGGACAGAGTGGACTGGCAACTAAACCTAATCTGTAGATAAAGGAGTTCGTTGTCAGAATGTGATGGACTAATCTATATTGAAACCATTGTAGTTTTGTATTTTTAGTTACTTTAAAAGGAATTTTGTAGATTTCTTCCCATTGCAAATTATTTAATTGGATCTTATCCTCCCATTTTTTTCTGCCAGAGGGAATAATATCGTTTTTAATCATAAGATTATACAAATCTTTAGACCCTTTCATCTTTTTTATGAAAAAATAAACATTGATGGGTATAAAAGGATATTCAATTGAAACTGCCCTAGTATTTTCAAGATCAACTTGACCTAAATATGATTTTATAGAAGATAAGATACCACGGTATGTAAGAAAATCTGTGTTTATTTGATATAAGTGGAAAAATTCCTCAAAAGTATAGAAAGTGAGAGTATCACTGTCTTTTATTAAATCATTCACAACAATAACCCCCTTTTTATACCATTCCTTATAAAATATAGTTTTCCCCCCAATAGTTAGACTCTCATTGTACCATAATGGAGCTTTAAAGATGAACTTTTCCCATGTTTGCTTTACACCACTTAAACTATTGAATCTTGTCCATGCCAGAAAGACATCCTTCCAGAAATCATTTTTACAATTATTTTGACATAGTTTAATATACTCATTACCACAATTTGAAAGCTTATGTAGGTCAATATATGTATTTAAAATGATTTGCCACTTTCCAGACTTTTGATACAGCCTCCTTAACCAACTTAGCTTAAGCGAATCTATAAAGGATCTTATATTTACCATTTTGAGACCCCCTCTGTAATATTCTTGGGTTATGATATCCCTCTTAACTTTATCAGAACTCCCATTCCACAAGAATTGAAAAAGCATTTTATTTAACCTAATCAAAAATTGATTGTCTGGATTTGGTAAAGAGATAAATAAATGAGTAAATTGAGGTAACAACAGAGATTTAATTAGCTGAATTCTCCCTATTGGAGTAAGTACTCTTCTACTCCATGTTTTAATTAGTGATTTTAATTTGATTATTTTCTTATCAAAGTTCAATTTGGGGATCTCATGCAGGTTAACACTAAATTCTATTCCAAGGAGAGTAAACTTATTCTTTCCCCACTGTAAATTTAATTCAGGTAAAAACATATCTTCACTATAAATTTTACTTCCTATCCAGATCACCTGTGTTTTATCTATATTCAATTTTAAACCAGAAATTCTCGCAAATGTATTTAATTCTTCAATGGATTCTTTCAAAGATCTTTCAGTACCATCTAATATGAGAGACGTATCATCTGCATATTGAGAAATTAGGATTGGACTATTATTTATCTCTATACCCTGAATCATCTTATTGTTTCTTATCCTTATGGAAAGTATTTCCACACACAAAATAAAAATATATGGGGCGATTGGGTCGCCTTGGCGACAACCTCTTTTAATACTTAGAAAAGAGGACAAATTACCTCCTTGATTGATAGTTGAATAAACATCTGTGTGTAAAACTTTCACCCAGTTTCTCAGACTAGAACCAAAATTGAAAAATGTTAAGACTTTAGATATAAATTCCCATGACACTGAATCAAAAGCCTTCTCAAAGTCAATCATTAATAACATACCTGGAATATTGTTTTCCTCAGTAAATTGCATGATATCATAAACTAATCTAGTATTTTCCCCAATATATCTACCCGCAATAAATCCTGTTTGATCATCACTGATTAATGTATTTAAAATATTTTTTATTCTACCTGCTATAGATCCTGAAGCAATTTTATATACAATATTTAACAATGATATGGGTCGCCAATTTTTTAAGTATTGTCTAGGCTTATCTCCCTTGGGAATGCATGTAATAATTCCTTGTCTCTGAGTTACAGATAGTGAACCTTTATCATACCCACAATTTATGGACCGAACAATAAAAACACCCAATTGTTTCCAAAAACACTTAAAAAATTCTACAGTAAAACCATCGGAACCAGGACTTTTATTATTTTTCATATTTTTTAATGTTATTGCTGCTTCTCCCAAAGTAAGTAACCCTTCTAAACTTTCAGATTGAATATCATCTAATTTTGGAACCACAAATGAGTTTGTAAAATCATGCAAGTCTATGTCTTCGGTATCATGACTGTCATAATATAATTTTTCATAAAAAGAGCGTACTTCTTCTAATATTTCATCCTGATCGGTAATAGTAATGTTTGATTTCTGTATCTTAGGGATGATCTTGGAGGTAAAATTTCTGTTTTCTAAACTCAAAAAATAACTAGTTGGCTTTTCCCCTTCTTCTTGCCATCTGGCCCTAGACCTTATAATACTTCCATTTACTTTTTTAAGTCTCAAGCTTTCTAGTTCCTTTTTCTTGCTATCTAATTCTTCTAAATCTACACCTTCTTGTTCTTCTAATTCTTGTATCACTTTTTTCAAATTAAATTCGTGCTTATTTTGTTGTTTCTTTTTATAAGAAGAGTAAGAAATGCTTTTGCCCCTAATTTCCATTAGAAGTGTTTCCAGAAAAAGTTGATCATCGATCATAAAAGTTAAATCTGCATCTGGAATATTACTTATGTTGTTAATGTTGTAAACTGGCAGGCAATATTGTACTTTTACATCCAGAATAAGTTGTTTTACCATATTAAGATATTCTTGATCATATAAGAGAGATGAATTAAATTTCCAAAGCCCTTTCCCCCTTCTAAATTCATTAAATTTTAAAACAATTATAGGAAATGAGTGGTCAGATCTATATCCAGATTCGATGGCTGATTTTTGGATACTAGACAATAAATTTTGTGAGGCAAGAAAGAAATCTAATCTTGCCTGTTTTAAAGGGTTTTTCTTTCGCCATGTATATCTTTTACTTTCTTGATTTAATTCTCTAAAGATATCAACTACAGAATAATTCTCAATAAATTCTAAAACTTTCTCTCTGGCTTTCTGGTTATTAATATTTCTGTAACTCTTATCATAATCCAATTCGGGATTTAGTACAAGATTGAAATCCCCACATACTATAAATTTATCATTACCAAAATTGTCTATCGTATCAGATAAAGTGTCATAAAAACTAGGTGTATCATTGTTGGGGCCATACAAATTAATTAGCGTAACTTTTGTACCCTCTAATTCTATATCCAGAGCTAAAAAATTCCCTGATAAGTCTTTTTTCTCCTTTTTAACCTTTATTTCAAAATTGTTATTTAATAAGATTGCCACCCCCCTAGCATTGGACTTGAATGAGTTAAAATAACAGTCAAAACCCCACTCGCTTCTAATAATATTTTGGTTTTCATATATAAAGTGTGTGTCTTGAAGACAATATATACCATAATTTTTAGATTTCAAGTATGAAAACAGATCTTTTCTTTTCATTCTATCTCCTAGACCTTGGCAGTTAGCAGAAAGAATTGTTAGCCCTTCCATTATGTAAAATTATAATTCCAATCTTTCATACCTAGCCCAGTTAGAGAGAACAGGAATAAAAAGCTATTCAAATAGATAATGTATAACTGTTGTACATGTCCTGAAATAGAGAGAGACAGATATTGCAAAGAGAGAATAAAGACAGGTAAGAGAAGACAGGAAAAAACACAAAAACACATCTAAAAAGTGTAACCAAGGCATAATGGCACACTGTCAACCATACATATGGACCACGTTATCTAATACATCATTTAGTTTCACCTGACATTGTACAGATCTACATGTTCCATCACACAATAATAATGCGACCGGATGTTTTCAGCATCGTTATAAAAACACACTTCCGGATCCGGAAAAACAGTCTACGTTTTCCGTCACATTACAGGCTCGCCCAAAATTGTGCCATGATTGTCATACTCTTTTAATTATTACTTACTTAAACAACACATGTGCCTTATCTATATCTGTTAGATCGATATGTATATAATGAAATTATGATTACTGCATAACATGGTCTTGGCTTATTTTGGTCCCCAAACTATCAAAATTTAAAACCAAAAATCAAACTGTAAGGTAATTTATTTAAAAAATTTTTATCCATTTTTTCTGTAATGTGATATTAATGACAACATTGTTAAAGTAGTGGTGTTCCAGTGGCCAACTACAGATGTCTATATGTCAATTTTCTAAGTAGGAAACTACATGTTTAAGTAGTTTGCTGGACTGAGAGAAGCTTCCATTGAGCAAGGACAAGTGATATGTGAAACAATATAAAAATACTAAAATAACATTAATGACCGAGATTTGGGAACACATATAAAATGTACCAACTAGTACTGAAGTAGGTATAATCACACTCCAACAATGTTGTTTGAGGTCCAACGTGATGAGAAACATTTGACAGGCAGATCTGCCAATATAGTGAGGATGATGAAGATTTCTTGTATGGATAAGAGTAGGATCATCAACACGTGTTTAAAAATAATTCCTGAAATTTAACTATGTGTAAATGTAGCAGCAACTGCAAAATAGCTCGTGACTCGTTTATATCCGACGTTTGTCCCACGTTGGAGTCCAAAGGGGTATTCCCAAAAAAAAATATTATCCACAAGGGTATTTGCGGACACGAATGTGTATATTTGCATAACATTTTACACTATCCAGATGCTTACTTTCAAAAACATAAAAATAAGTCATGTAGTAGCTGTGCACGTGCCCCTTTACTTTGTAAGGACAGATGTTATTGTGCTGCAGAGGTCCTATTGAGGCCTGCATTGCGGCAAAAAGCATCCATGCAGTCCGCAGATCTACAAACAAAAAGCGTGACAGCTATCTAATTATTTCTTATTCTTCGAATCAGGAGAGTATGACATATGAACAAGAAATTCCGTCTGAAAGTCTGAGCGTTAAATTGTTGCTACTTACAGCATGTAAATAAACACACCGGTGATCAGCTGGTGTTTATCATTTTCTCCGATAAGCCATTGCTGCCAGAGTTGGAAAACGCAATCTTTCACTGCAGTTTTTCAAAAGAGAAGAACGAAAAGCGTGTGTTATTTATGTTCGTGACAATTGTGACTGGTTTACGTAGCTTCGTGCTAGTCGTTACTGATTACGTCTACATTAATCAGTTAACACATTTTGCATCTCTTCAATCCCATTTTTTCGACGTCTACAAAACACTGTCGTTCGTAGTTGAAACGATAGCCGGACTACGGGAGGAGTCACGGAGACGGAAAACCTGTCAACCAACCAACCAACTTATTTTCTCTTTCGTCCAAAAACATAGCTATTCCAATTGTAAAGTTCTATTTTGTCACCACCTCCCGGCTAACTATGCTACTCTGTATTCTAATTAAAACCCTAGTTTACCGTGACATGCGCCTAACAATTTCCGTGGAAGTTTTTCAGTGCTCCAATTAGGATGGTTTCCCTGTTTCGGTCCTTTTCTTCGACCGTTCGTCATCAAAATACATCGATTAATTCACGGTCATCTCACAGTCAGTTTTTTTTTATATTTGAGTTAAGTTTCTTCAATAAATACAAATGGTTTGATTTAAGTTGATTCCATCATAAATTTCGATAATTTTACTTAGTAAGTCCCGAACACTTCTATTGATTTCAATCCAACAAAGAATGTTTTTCAAAAGATACGAAATAGTCAAACAGGACCAGGGAATTATATTTACGATTGCCTGTATTTGTACTTTTTTCACCAATTATCCATCGGGCACCAAACCAATGCATGTTAATAATCCAATGGCTATATCTTTTTTTCTTTTTTAACGAAGTTGAATTTCGCTACAAACTCATGTGGCGGAGTTGTACCTGTAATATTTTCTGATTCTAGACGTTTGTTATCAACATTTTCTCTTTCTAATTGTTCCAGTTATTGTTTATTACACAACCAATCACACTTACACAGAGGAGATGCGTTTGACCATCTTTTTCATTAGCCCTCCACCTCTTGGTCACGGGTTCGAGGCCTACACGTGGTGCTGGCCGCCGGCTTTTCTCTGGGAACACCGACTTTCCTCTACCACCCAAACCTGGCATATCATTAGAAGAACATGGCTGTTGAAAGGACGTAAAGGAACGATAAAAAAAACTAGGAGAAAGATATGAAGTTTGCAAACCTCACTTAACCTTTTCCATTGGGTTGAGATAGGCTTATCTCAGCCCCAAGAGGGATGAGTTTCTATTATTGGATAAGATTGACAAAACTTAGAATGAGAAAGAAAAAGAAAGAAAAAACCCTAATTGGCCTTCTATCAGGATTATTTCTTGCTAAATAAGACACAAATGTAAAAACACCTGGGCGTTGTAGTATCGGGAGTTTTAAGGTTGAAATTGATTAGAAAATTTTCATTATAATGAACATGAGCTTCTCATTCATTGTTCGTTTCCGATATCGGTAAGACATTTTAGTCGATTTTCTGTCGGTTTTGAATAATATACAAGTGTAGAGATTGTAAATTCCACACGTTTCAATTGCCCGAATGTGTGTATATATATATATATATATCGGTAGTTTAAAGATGCGAAAAAGCCATAGAAAGAGATGCATTCGACAGTTTCGGAAGAAACGCTCAGGCTAGATTGCTAAATTTTTCTGTCGATGTTTATTTTCTAAGACTGCGTTCATTGTATTTTCGGAACGAAGTCTAGCGGAAAGTGGAAAATCTACTGCGCGCAGTTTATTTATTGATTTTTTAAGTTTCAAGTACTCCTTCCATTTATTTCCAATAAATAATTATCAGTAAGTAGGAAAATAAAGTGGCCCATGACACCTGTATAGTTCACCTGGCGTTGTTTTATGCAAATAAGTTAAGATCACAACTTGTGTAATTAGTGCATGTATACTCTCCTGTGTTCGTCATTGTATAACAGTAAGGACATCCTAAAAACATTTCATAATCAAGTCATTACAAAGAATGTTAAATTCAGATTGTACGTATCGTTGGTTTGGTAATATCAACAACAAGTACATCAATACCATTATGCTGGTAGCCCTTAATTTCATAAGTATAATGTCATATATGGTAAGAATGACGTCATATGTATTGCTATTTTATGTAACATTGGTATGAGAATGACGTCATGTAATATTTTTCTCTGTGTATCGTGTTGCTGCTTTGTGTATTTTAATGTAATACGAATGCAATATTTGCTTCTGATAAGTCAAAAGACTTAAGGAATAAAATGCTTGACTTGACTTGCATGCAGGTCACAACAAACCGCAGTGGATTTATCACCAGCTGTGTAAAGATATACGCCCTAACTGCGGCTTGTCATATATACATTTCTTACTTATTTACGGAAGCCGCTTAGTACGGAAGCCGGTTAGTGACATTCGACTTACCATATCGTCATAATTACGACCTAATTATCTGGTAATTTCGATTTAACTTGTTAATCCAAATTCAAAGTCAATAAAACTGGGCAAAAAAAGAATAAATCAAAGCTTTACACAGAGGAACTCCTGGAAAGAAACAAGGAGAATAAAACCATGTGTTCTGGAAGAGTAAGCGTCCTCTGCTTCATTGACGACACCCGCTAAGGCCAGTGGGTGTTCACTTCATCAGAGAGTTCAGTTAAAAACAAGCCAATAAATCATGTACACATAATTTTACTCAAATAAATTCGGTACACTTTCCAACTTTTACTTGATGTAAATGCCCCTCGCTGCCATTCACAAGACTGATAAACCATATTTAATTATTGTCTGTTATTAAATGAAATATTTCTATCCTTTGAGGCACATTAAGTATTAAAGGAACCATAGAATTTCCTACTTTCACTTTCCACACTCCGGTTGATCGGCGATTTTAATACCGTAGATGCCCGGATGTTATTTTGAACAACACGATAACAAGGGCAATTAATCATTATATACGGAATAATGACAAGTCAAGAAATTGCTGCCAGTTTAGCATCACGTGCTATTGATACTAAAACGTTTGATTTCCGATGTTCAAGGTCTGTGGAATATCTGCCACCCTATGACGGAACACAAAGACGAAAGCACTATTATCCCAAACAGTACCGACATGCCTATCCATTTCTTGGCTGCGCTTTTACTCGTCTGCAGGTAAATGGCGTCTCCCCGTCTCCTGGCTTCGTCTATCTACAACCAGATGAAACAGGACTTGTTTGAAAATACAACAACTGTCCGCCAATCCAGGTAATTCAGTCAGAAGATCCCATCAAGACCAACAAGAATGATTAATAATAAAAGCTGGTATATATTGTTAAATAGTTATGGTTTATATATATATATATGTTGGAAAATAGTTATGGTTTATATATATACATATGTTGGAAAATAGTTATGGTTTATATATATATATATATTGTAAAATAGTTATGGTTTATATATATATATATATATATATATATTGGAAAATAGTTATGGTTTATATATATATATATATATATATATATATATATTGTAAAATAGTTATGGTTTATATATATATATATATATGTTGGAAAATAGTTATGGTTTATATATATATATATATATTGTTAAATAGTTATGGTTTTTATATATATATATATGTTGGAAAATAGTTATATATATATATGTTGTAAAATAGTTATGGTATATATATATATATGTTGTAAAATAGTTATGGTTTATATTTGAAACCTCTATATATCCCACATACCTTGCCAGTCACTAGATGTGACATCTTGATTAAGATACTTACATCTGTAACCTTCATGATTGCCATGATGCCGGTCGGCCAGAAACAAAATAAAGTAACAAATAAGGCAGGCAACATGTAGTAGTGGACTTGTCGTTTTTTCCCTACGGACTGAAAGTACAAAACATGTACGTAAAAGTTGTTGTTAAACTGAAGGTAAAAAAAAACATGTGAGTTACAGCATTTTTATAAACGAAAATTCCAACATTGCTAAAAATTTTAAAGTAGTAAAAAAACACGAGGAAAACCAATATTATCGCTAATTTTAAGACTAAACAAACAACTGTGAAATCAAAACACCAAGATTTACCAAAACGATGATTTTTAATTTTCCATTTAAAATTAGGATTTGTTTTCCTTTTTGTGATGTGCAGGCGAAACTGGTTTTCACACAGGTAAGCCTACATATTTCTGTAACTTAATATTTATAAATTGGTAGTAGAAACTGGCAGATTGGAATCGTTTAGAACATCAAAATAGAATATTTCTACATTGTGATACACAAGAAACAAGTGGTTTATTTCATTCTATGTCTTGACCAACGAAAGAAACTTGATTTAGGAACCGTAATCATTCACGTTCGAATATCTTCAGATTTTAAAATCTTATGAATACTACAAACATCCAAATCTTACAAAATCTGTGCAAGTTGATAAAATTTTATCTATAATGGTCTTATATGTTGCCCTCTATACACAAACTATATTTGTTGAAAGTTGTTCATATAGATATGTTTTCTCTGTATATCGTCCTTTGTAAAGAGAATTATGTAAAATAAAGTTGGAAGTAGACATTGACCGAAACACATACCCCTTTGGAACTGGCAGTGCTAGTAGACGGTATATGCTCCATCTCCAAGTTACCGCAGAAAAAAAAAACAGGTATTAAACCTAAACATATATATACCATTTAACACGACCTGATTACGTAACCGATAAAAATATTTATTTTACCTTACATTTCTTTTAAACATTTTGATAAACGAAAAGATACGCCTCAAAATTTAACGAATCCAATTGTTTTGAGAGGGTAATGAACTTTTTAAACGTGAAATAAAACAAGACTTTAAAAAGGGATATTTAATGACAGTACAAGCAATGTGTTACAGCTGTATCTTGTGTTTCAAGATTAACAATACTCACGAACTGCTAAACTTCAAGTGTAGAATTTGTTTGACACATTAGCTAATACAGTGACTTACAATTAGAAACTTAAGACCGATATATTTTCACGTGCAAAATATTTTCCTACCTACCTACCTACCTACCTACCTACATGCATACATACCTTGTAAACGACAGTCAGAATGTCAGATTCTACATCATCAGCTTGCGAGTGCAGAATAAGATTTTAGTAACAACTTGTAAACATTGTAACAATGAAACGATTTTTATAGAGACAGGATACATATACATTGTTCCGGAAATTCAACGTCACTTGGTTTCCTTTTGTTAGTTAGTAGAGCGCGCGACGTGAAATATACACACACTGCTACACTTTTTTTAAGTGGTTATTAGTAATGATGATAGCTCGAGGATATTATCACTGTGGTAAACCTAAGAGCTATCCCAAGTGGTATTTGTTAATTTTACAAGCTTGTGAAGCTTTTATGAAGAGAGCAATGATATGAAAAGAATGATAAAAAATAACTTATGTTTGTACCATCATCACTGTTTGTTGTTAGGGCGAAAAAAATCCTCAGTGTATATGATAATGAACTTGTTTTCAGAGACCGCCAGTAGCTTAAGTCCTAATATGGAATCTGCAACAGTTAATGTTATTGAAGGTGTGAATAAGATCACTTAAGGATTGGAAACTGCAGACAAAACAAAACCAATTTTAGAAGAGTTGGTTGCATATCTGAAGTACGTTAACAGTGCTTTTGTCACAAAGATGATACTTAGTATTGTAGAGCTGTATCTACTGCCTACACCTTTAAAGGTTTAGGCGCCCCTATGATGTTAAGAAAACAGCAACAAAAAACCACCGTGTCAACACAATCATAATCCAAACTCAAATTCAAATAAACTGGGTCAAAATCTTATCAGAAGAAAGACTTACATTGAAAAAGTACAGGAAGAATAAGACCAGGTGTTCTGGTAAAGTAAGCGTCTTCTGCTTCATCCAAGTAAATAATGTCACGCTCTCAAATGAGAACAAGGTATTCCACTATCGAACCTCCATGCAGACTAACGAGCATCAAATACGTTCAGTTACATCTCGCAAAAAGAAACAATATTTCTCAATAAGATCGCTTTGACAACCATAAGTCTTCTCCATAATTTTTATCAACCTGCAGCCATTGAAACCTGGTGTTGTACGAGTTTTTTTCCCGTAAGTTGACGATTCCTGCACGAAAATCACGATCATGGGAACAGACCATTGGATATCAAATCAAATACGATATGTAAACACCATATGTTTGGGATGCAGGAAATTTGCTATCCAGAAACGGAAAATTCACAGTAGAGAAATTGAATCATAACACTTATCATACGGCTTGGTTGAAAGCTGTCCATGTTGATTTCGCTGTATGAAAGAGATAGCGGTAAGCGGCTGATGTAGAAGAGTCTGTATTGTCCTGGATTTCCAGTTCAGGTGGGTATATACGATAGATAGAGTAAAGATATATCTTGCTATTTGAAGACAAGACATAACCAATACATCTGAAACTGACATTGAAGGACGTCGCTAGGTCATTGTGACCGGTTTGATAATTTTTTGATAAATTCAGCAATACTATATAAAAACAAAAACAAGTCAGCCGAAAAAGGGACATAATTTAATCTCGTAGGTACTCCAGTTGTCTTGAATATCTTACCGCCAAACTAGACGAAGATTTTGTCTACTAGAAAGTCAGTCATTTGAACAATTTCTTCCTCCGTATATTTTTTCATTAACAGGGACTATTTATCACAAAATAAGCGTCAGCATAGTTCAAACCATATATTTATACCGCCGTTCACCTGTCTATGAAAAGAAACAAGAGAACGAACGATTATGGTAGTGTGCAAAGGGGAAAATCAAATATTGATTCTGACAAAATGCTTGTCAGAAGAGGAAATTATTATGTATATAAAAAAAACAAAACATTATCTATCAATAAATTTACACGTTCCTGGAATGTAGAAAGTCTTGCAAGCACACAATCAACATTTTTTATTCAGTCAGCAACAAATGTTTGCGGCAATGCATATGGCAATGATTAAGAGATATTTATCGGGGTCGAATGCGTTTTGACCTTTGAACTCTGATCTGACCTTGAAAGTGCACATGCCTAATCAGCAGGCCAGCGTGACACAAAGGAGAACTTTTTAAAAAAAACATTGGACTGCACACACACACACACACACACACACACACACACACGTAAAGTCACGAAGACCGTAGAGATAGCTATGGAAAGGCACTAAATCACAACATGGCTTCAAAGTAAGAAAAAATTTAAGTGTTCCATACATTTTGAAAATCTTATATTTGTAGACTTGCATCATGATTGCGACACACTATGATTTGATCTATAGCTTTGGCTCTGATTTGGACTCATGACCTTAAATTTTTACCTGTGTATATAAGTTGACCGAGTTTTACAAAAATACTGTGTTCAGCTATATAATTAAACTAGTTATATACATATATGTACATAATATGACCTTTCACATTAGCATATAGACTTGAGTTTACCGTCATATCACACGTCATTCGATCAAATCTTTGATACACCATATCCAAACAATCACGTGACGAGTCTACAATATCCATCCCGTGTCTGCAATATGGTGATTGGGTCTGTACATCATTTGTTATCGATCAAATATGAGTTAAGGTTTGCTTAAAACCACCACATATTCAAAAAGAAACATTCAGACACATTTCCCATAAAAGTGGAATTCCCTTCATATCTAACAGATATTCCTTGTGCATCATAATGCCAGTTGTGATCCCACACTCTGAATCTCCTCGGGACCCGCGATCAGTTTGCATTTGGGGTAGCGATTTGTTTCGGGACAATTGCGGTACTTACTCTCTAAAGGACGACCTAGCCTTGTTGCAAGAACTCATAGTTATTTCTAGCTTATGATAATCGAGATAAAAAAAATCCACTTGATTCAAATCATATCGCTTTCTACAACAACTATCATGTTTATAGCCCTTCAAATCTGTTGACTGCAATGATAAAGAATTCACGTTGTAACTGATATAGACCTACATACCGACTCAAAGCTATATAACTCTATTACGCATGTCCATGAATCCTTGATCTTCCGGAAATCCTGGTCTCTTTCAAATCTGTCCCTTGTTCAGTGTTTGCTTTCATTTAAACGAAATTTCTGTTAACACGTCGCCGATATTTAATAACTTGTTGTTCATGAGTAGAAGATGCACAAACATACACTACTGATATAACTGGAGAGGTTTGTTGTCGGTACAAACATACAATACTGATATAACTGGAGAGGTTTGTTGTCAGTACAAACATACAATACTGATATAACTGGAGAGGTTTGTTGTCGGTACAAACATACAATACTGATATAACTGGAGAGGTTTGTTGTCAGTACAAACATACAATACTGATATAACTGGAGAGGTTTGATGACGGCACTAACATACAATACTGATATAACTGGAGATGTTTGATGACACTACAAACATACAATACTGATATTATTGGTGAGGTTTGATGACACTACAAACATACAATACTGATATATCTGGAGAGGTTTGATACCACTACAAACATATAATACTGATATATCTGGAGAGGTTTGATGACACTACAAACATACAATACTGATATATCTGGAGAGGTTTGATGACACTACAAACATACAATACAGATATAACTGGGGAGGTTTGATGACACTACAAACATACAATACTGATATATCTGGAGAGGTTTGATGACACTACAAACATACAATACTGATATATCTGGAGAGGTTTGATGACACTACAAACATACAATACTGATATAACTGGAGAGGTTTGATGACACTACAAACATACAATACTGATATAACTGGAGAGGTTTGATGACACTACAAACATACAATACTGATATAACTGGAGAGGTTTGATGACACTACAAACATACACTACTGATATTACTGGTGAGGTTTGATGACACTACAAACATACAATACTGATATATCTGGAGAGGTTTGATGACACTACAAACATACAATACTGATATAACCGGAGAGGTTTGATGACACTACAAACATACAATACTAATATTACTGGAGAGGCTTGATGACACTACAAACATACAATACAGATATAACTGGCGAGGTTTGATGACGTCACAAACATACAATACTGATATAACTGGAGAGGTTTGATGACACTACAAACATACAATACTAATATTACTGGAGAGACTTGTTGACACTACAAACATACAATACAGATATAACTGGTGAGGTTTGATGACACTACAAACATACAATACTGATATATCTGGCGAGGTTTGATGACGTCACAAACATACAATACTGATATAACTGGAGAGGTTTGATGACGGCACAAACATACAATACTGATATAACTGGTGAGGTTTGATGACACTACAAACATACAATACTGATATAACTGGAGAGGTTTGATGACGGCACAAACATACAATACTGATATATCTTGACAGGTTTGATGACACTACAAACATACAATACTGATATAACTGGAGAGGTTTGATGACATTACAAACATAGAATACTGATATAACTGGAGAGGTTTGATGACACTACAAACATACAATACTAATATTACTGGAGAGGCTTGATGACACTACAAACATACAATACTGATATAACTGGAGAGGTTTGATGACACTACAAACATACAATACTGATATAACCGGAGAGGTTTGATGACACTACAAACATACAATACTGATGTAACTGGTGAGGTTTGATGACACTACAAACATACAATACAGATATAACTGGCGAGGTTTGATGACGTCACAAACATACAATACTGATATAACTGGAGAGGTTTGATGACACTACAAACATACAATACTAATATTACTGGAGAGGCTTGATGACACTACAAACATACAATACAGATATAACTGGTGAGGTTTGATGACACTACAAACATACAATACTGATATATCTGGCGAGGTTTGATGACGTCACAAACATACAATACTGATATAACTGGAGAGGTTTGATGACGGCACAAACATACAATACTGATATAACTGGTGAGGTTTGATGACACTACAAACATACAATACTGATATAACTGGAGAGGTTTGATGACGGCACAAACATACAATACTGATATATCTTGAGAGGTTTGATGACACTACAAACATACAATACTGATATAACTGGAGAGGTTTGATG